TAAGTATTATAACCACGCTAAACAAACATGACTCATATTAGCAGTATCAGATTTAAAAAAACAACAACAACTGCAAGTTTACTCAGATGTAATTGATTGTCTTAATTTAGTAAGATAAACTCCCAGGTAAGAACACACAAATACCTAGTATTTTGCACCCGATAGAATCTTGCATCTTTCATACCAAGCCTCTATTAGTCATCTGTGAACTTTGGTTTCTTGTTTCCCCGTTGCTTCTATCCTTTACCTGTTTACTCTTTCTATAAATATTCCCTTCTTAGACCTTCATCTTCCTTCCACTCCTGAGATTTCCCTAGGCTTTCCCTGTACCCCTTTTCCTCCCAAGAACATGTTTATAGACAACTACTTCCTTCTGGACTCCTTGATAACACCTTTGCATTCCAAGTGTTTTCAGAACCATCTCCTGCCCTATGTAGAAAAATGGGCTTTTATTCCTCCTAAAAACAGAGAGCTCTTAAGTTGCTTAAACCCACTGACTACTCCCAAGTATGACTTAGGTAGTTGGATAGTATGCACAGGTCACAATACCAACCCTTGGGAACCCCACTTCTCACATCTCTCCATTATGAGAACAATCAATTTATTTGTATTCTCTGCTTCCTGTCCTTTAACCAACTAGTGCACGTGTAGGCAACTGAGGCCTGGGGGCCGGATCCGGCCCAGTCGCCTTCTAAATCCAGCCCGCAGAAGGTCCGGGAATCAGCGTGTTTTTACATGAGTAGAATGTGTCCTTTTATTTAAAATGTATCTCTGGGTTATTTGTGGGGCACAGGAATTCATTCATTTGTTGTTGTTTTTCAAAATATAGTCCGGCCCCCCACAAGTTCTGAGGGACAGTGGACCAGCCCCCTGCTGAAAAAGTTTGCTGAACCCTGAGCTAGTGGGTCCATAAGAGAACTCTTAATCCATGGCTTTTAAATTTGCTGAGCAGAAAGATTTATCTTTGCAGAAACTGTGCTAATTCTGCTTAAGCAAGAGTCTTAGACTGTTGTTACTTTTTCTTTATGAATACTTTCACCAATTTACCTGGAAACGATGTTAAGCTATCTGCGCATGTAACTTTCCCAGATCCTTTTTAATAGTGGTATGCTATCGTGGCCATTTTCCAGGCCTCTCAGATTACTGCATCAACACCGCGGCAAAGTTACTTTTCTTTTCTCCTATAAGCAACCAACTAGTTCACATTTGCCACATATTTTAGAACTCGCCAGTGAATACCCCCTGGACTCAAGTTGCGATTCTATAGAATTACCAAGAAAGGAGACTCCAACTAAACATCAATAACTTAGTCTGACAGTAAGAGCTGGAATGGACTCCCTCGGAAAGTGGACTTTCCTTCCTTGGAGGTTTTTAAGCAGAGGTTCGATGGCCATTTGTCAGGTATTCTTTAGTTGAGATTCCTGGCTGTAGGGGGTTGGACTAGATGACCCTGAGAGACCCTTCCAACTCTACGATTTTATTATTCTACTATTCTACTGTTTGCAGTACCTTGTCCTGTGCCAGCAACCAAACTACAGTGGTAACGCGGGTTACATGCGCTTCAGGTTACATACGCTTCAGGTTACAGACTCCGCTAACCCAGAAATAGTGCTTCAGGTTAAGAACTTTGCTTCGGGATAAGAACAGAAATCGGGCTCCGGCAGCATGGCGGCAGCAGGAGGCCCCATTAGCTAAAGTGGTGCTTCAGGTTAAGAACAGTTTCAGGTTAAGAACAGACCTCCAGAACGAATTAAGTACTTAACCCGAGGTACCACTGTAATGAACAAATACGGAGTATACCCTCTCTTTGACAAGGTTTGCATAACTGGCATAAAAGTAGTTTCTAAAGGACCATAACCATAGCTAATAACATATATTCTGGCTACACCAGAACAGATTTTCCAGAAAAGGATGGGATGGCTCCATCCCACTTACCTCAATCACACGCTGCCTTTGTTCCATGAAAGAGATGCATCTGTAGGGCATCCCCAAGTATCGCATTAAGCAGTCTTGTAGAGAGCTGATACAGTGAGGAAGGAAGCCACCTGTTTCCACTGAGAACTGCAAGACATCAGCAACCTATGAAAGGAAGCCGAGGGGTCAGTATGTCATGCCCACACTTTACTGGCTAACAGCATACTAACTCTACAGAACATCAACTGCCTACACCCTTATATTCAAGATCGGTCACTGAGACTTTCTCCAGGAGGGTTGTTGGCGAGGTTCATCGGGCAGGAACAAGAACCCGATCCTTTAATGTCATTGGCCCAGTCCTGTGGAATGCTCTGCCAATGAAGATTCAGCAGGGGTCTTTTGTTTCAACCTTAAATGCCTGCAGAAAACTTTTCTTTGCTGTCAGGCTTATGCAGGCAACTAAGAAAGCATCTTTCCATAATAGCTAACTGATTGCTGATTTTTTTTTTACATGTTTTTATTACATATATTATTGTAAACCACTTTGATATTTCTTATGATATAGCTGTATATAATTAATCAAGCAGACTTCAGATATCAAATTCAGTTTTTTTCTAGATTCTGTGAAATATTGTACACATGAAATTGAAGACAAACATCCTTGAACTAAGATATTTCTTTATGAAGATGAAGATGATGATGAAGAAGAGTTTGGATTTGATATCCCACTTTATCACTACCCTAAGGAGTCTCAAAGCGGCTAACAATCTCCTTTCCCTTCCTCCCCCACAACAAACACTCTGTGAGGTGAGTGGGGCTGAGAGACTTCAGAGAAGTGTGACTAGCCCAAGGTCACCCAGCAGCTGCATGTGAAGGAGAAGTGTGTTGAAAAATCTAGTTAGAGAACAAGTAACTAACAAGCTACCTGTGTATCAAAGACATTGGAGAGCATAACTCCATACTGGTGAGAAAGACAATCTGAAAGCCACCGGCAGTCATGGATAACCTAAAGAAAATAAGGAAGAGGTACTGTAGTAGTTGGTGAGATAAAAGTAATATATAAATAAATGCATGTTTTATGTTATTTTACATTTTCTCTGCATAGGTTCTCAGATGCCCTGTGCTAGACAAATACTTACTTTCAAAATATTCTGATCTTCTAGTATCATTTGGAGTCCGTTCTTGAACACTCGAGCTCCCAGAAGGAAAATGTCAAACAAGAAAACCTTGCTCTTCGTTGCAATCTATAATAAATATACAGGACAGAAACAAAAATTATACATACCTGTTTTACTTAAATATTAGCAATAAAATATTTTCATAATATGAATCTTATTGTCCTAACAGAATCTCTCTCTCTCTCTCTCTCTCTCTCTCTCTCTCTCTCTCACACACACACACACACACACACACACCTGAGACAAAAGAGAAGACAAATAGAAGACATATGATCTGCTCTGAGTGAAGGTAAGAACATAACCGGTGCTTCAAGGGAAGAAAGCCAAAATACTTCCTTCCAGAATGCATTCCTGCCTTCAAGCAGTAGGGGAAGCAAATCTACTTAGAGGGTTTGTTCTTCTGAACTGCTTAGAACAGGGGTCAGCAAACTTATTCAGCAGGGGGTAGTCCCCTGTCCCTCAGACCTTGTGGCGGGCCGGACTATATTTTGGAAGGGAAAAAAATGAATTCCTATGCCCCACAAATAACCCAGAGATGCATTTTAAATAAAAGCACACATTCTACTTATGTAAAAACACCAGGCAAGCCCCACAAATAACCCAGAGATGCATTTTAAATAAAAGAGAACATTCCACTCATGTAAAAACACGCTGATTCCTGAACCTTCTGCGGGCCGGATTTAGAAGGCGATTGGGCCAGATCCGGCCCCCGGCCTTAGTTTGGCTACCCATGGCTTAGAAGGTCCCAAAGGACCATAGAGGGCCCCAGGAATATATTTGTGTATGTTAACAAAGGGCTACATAACAACACAATAAAGAAAAAGGGGAGTTATACTGAAGACCCCAGATATAGCATATTCTTTGTTCCTCTTTAGGTATCTCTTGGCTATAAGAAGACCACTGATTAAGAAACACAAAATCAAAAGTTTCGGCCCAAAGGTTCCAAATAGCAATGTTAAGTGCTTATAAAATATTCCTTCTTACCTGCAACCAAGAGAGTTTTCCATGGCGACACAAATTGACACCCTCTGCTGCTACACTACAAACATTCTGCTTTTTGATGTGCACCATCTAGTGAGAAGGGGAGAAACTACTAGGTAAAGGAGAGTGAAGAAGACAGGTCAGAAAACATGATGCCTCATTTGTGACAAACATAAAATTCACACCCAGCATACATCGGAGGTAGTGAGAAACAAGGGATAATCAGCAAAGTGTAAAGATAAAAAACCAGGGTTTCCATTCCTTGAGCATTACTAGCGTTTATTCAGACAGTGCCATTAAATACGAAGTTTTAGGTCCAGTTACAGATAGGTAGCCGTGTTGGTCTGCCATAGTCAAAACAAAACAAAAATTCCTTCCAGTAGCACCTTAAAGACCAACTAAGTTAGTTCTTGGTATGAGCTTTCGTGTGCATGCACACTTCTTCAGATACATTCTACAGCCTAACAAAAGTTTCCCACCTAGATGGTGTTTACTAAGTTATTTTCTCGTGTAACAATATACCCTTTGTACTGTGGTTACCCCATGGTGGTATGTTAAGATGCTGTTCTTTCATCTATGGGCAAATTATACAATTAAAGTAATCCACTAAAAATTATTAAACTCAATTTAGAATTGGTAACAAAATTTTAGATTTTTGACACCTCTCTCTCTCACACACACACACTCCTGCAAGAGCGCCAACAACAAGCCTGAACAAGTGATTAAGACTTGTACTTTTGATT